GACACCAAATTCGACTCAATTCAAGCTCAAATGGGTCCAAATCAAAGACCCGAAGCTCATTTGGAAGGTTTAAACCATAATTTGGATTACCAAACAGTCTCCAAATATGACACATTTATAGTAGAATCGAGCAGCTCAATGAGACGAGTCCAACGAGCTCAAGATCACCAAATTCTGATATCATTAAAACATTCAAATGTCCATTAAATTTCACTAAACATCATTAAACATGGAGAAACCCAATCGAAGAGATCAGGAGAAAATAGAGTCCCCAAACTCACTTATGCATTTTATTTAGCAGCATTGATACTTATTAATGAGTTTATTTTCAAAGTTCTGGGTTTTCCAAAAAGGGTTTTTTTCACATGAGGTAGTGAAGTTGATTACTTGATGATGGGCCAACATTTTAGAATAAATATTAAACTAAACCCTAAAGAACCCATTTCCATTCAAAATTTATTATAGCTATAATAAGACAAACAACGACAGCTAAAATATTGACATTAGTAATATGTTATTAAATGTGAAATTATATTCAAGCTTATTGACACCGGACCGGAGGGGGCTCGACGAATCCACGTCGATGATCCGGTGGCCGGGTCCAAGATCCAAGAACTCCTTTGAAGAAGAATCCACTACCTGAATAATACATGAATCAAAAGTAACCTGGCGAAAGACTTCATTTTATTAATCTCCAAATCTACCTAGCTATTACAAGCAATGTCAACATGTATATATAGACAAAAATAGAGCAACATAATAAGCTACACTCCAACGAATAAAGAACATTTCTATACATCCATATAAGCCACCGTACGAAATTAATCTAGCTTGAAGTAATATAATTAAACAGCTTTATTAAGCAAAGAATAGTTATTATTTATGTCTTAATAAATCTTACCAAAATCCTTACAAGTGACATACTCTCTTTTATTATTAAAATAAGTCAACTTAACTTGCATGGTATATAGAAGGGCACCAAAATTTTTGCTCAAAATATCAGCAGTTTTATTCTTAAGCTCCAACACATTGTTGAAGGACAAAATAATATTTCTGTAAAAGCTCAATCCATTTAGCATATTGATGTCCTAATTTAGTTTGAGAACTCAAATATTTTTAAGCTTAATGTAGAAAAGAAGAAGTGGCAAAGAAAACTTGATTTGTTTGTTCTTTCTATGGGTATTTATACATAAAACTGTTAAGAGAATAAAAGGAAACAACTAATCACTACAGCTCAAAAAGAAAAAATAATCCTCATGCTATTGTTCCAATTGGACTCGGCAATTGATGCTCATGAAATCATTTCAATGCCTACTTTCTTTTCTTGTATAAAAATCCGTGGAGAGATGTTTCCTTGCAAGCAAGGGGTTTGTGGCCTCTTGTTCCATCAACTCTCCCCTACAAATTAGACGTTGTAGATATATCATTCTCAATTTATTTATAATATTTTTAAATGTAGGCTTGCAAAGCCTGGTATCTTCTTTTTAAGGGATCTACTTTGTTTCTAGCATAGCCTCAAGGCTTTCCATGGATGTTCCAATATATTTTTCTAATTTGTAACTTTTTATTTTAAATAGTTGCACTATAGATTGCTTTTGTAAGAAAATTTTTGCAAATTCTCAACATATACTATCACCACTAGTGTAGAAAATGAGCTGAATCTTTCATCTCTCTAGTGAAGTTGTCATGACATGTATGTTTAGCATATATTCTGAACTGAAACCAAATCTTTCACTGTTCAGCTGCTATTTCTGGTTTCTTCATCACTGCTGATAAAATCATCCTGAAAAATGCGAGGGAAAATACAATTGGCAAGTTTGACAAAAGTTCTTGACATGAAGTTGCACCAACTCAAAAATGGAACTCTTAGAGCACAAATTTTTGTGTTTAATGGTTTCAGCCCTTGTGAGTTTATTTCTATTTTGTCTTTGTTCTGAATTACTTGTTGAACCCATTTAGAAATAAACTTTCTGCTAATGAAATAGCAGCAGCAGGAAGGCTTTGTAACGTTGGCATTTTACCAATGTTTGAGATGAAGAATAAATTTGTTATTAGCTCAAATTTGATGTTTATTGAGGGAATTCTAGCTCATCTCATAAATATAGAGTAATTGAGCTGCTTGGATGTATTAAATTTTTATTTGTTATTGTAAATTTCATATAAACTTCTGACACACACTCTCTCTTATCTTCATAAATCACAAGTTAGATTAATCAGATTCAAGTTGGGATGAATGAGTTTCAGGCTTCGTTTGAGATAGTTTTAGTCCACTGTTTTTTCTCTGTTTTCAAGAGTTTTTTATACTAAGATAAAGCTGTCACAAACGAATTAGTATTACTTTACAAAGCAGTAATAAAGCTGTCTCAAACGAAGCCTAAATCTTTATCTAATCCTAAATTGTGATGAAGGTTGTAGACTGAGTAAAGCTGAATTTGAATTGCCCATAGCCTGCACTTGAGTTCATCTCAATTAATCAAGCTTGATGAGATCATTGAAAAAAATTAGAAATTGGAAAAGAAATAAAAGACATAACCTTCAAGTTGTAGGGTATCATAGCATTTTTAGAGAATCCATTTTTCTAGATTTAGGCTTTGTTTGGGACGGCTTTCTTACTGCTTTTTAGTTTTAAAAAAAAAAAAATTTGTGCTAGAAAGTTACTTTAAAAAACAGTAAGAAAATCGTCTCAAACGAAACCTTATTTTAAATTATGTGAGAACTTTCCAAGCAGCTTGAAAGTGAGATTATTTTAGTTTTTGAAGGAATTGATTTATGAGAATTACCGCAAAAGCAATGTCAAGGTAGGTGCGTTATATGTAGAGTAGTTTCTCAGCTAACTTTTGATATTGTCTATTTTCTATTTATGTAGCTTCTTTATCTATATACAATCTCTGACCTGATTTAATTAAACTTTTGCATGACTATTATCAGTTATATTTATTTCTCTTACACTATAGGATTTGATGTTCCCAAATAGTTTTTGTATTGAGAATGGAGACAACCTACCTTTTTGATTGAACTTCTTTGTTTCTAGCTTAGCCTTAAGACTTTCCATGGATGTTCCAATATTTTTTTTTTAGTTGTTGCACTATGGATATCTTTTGTAAGAAATTTTTTTTTTTGCAAATTCTCAACATATACTATCCTCACAAGTGTAAAAAAAAAGTTGAATCTTTCATCTCTCTTTTCAAGTTGACATGGCAAGCCTGTTTTGCATATATTTTGAACTGAAACCAAATCTTTCATTTTTCAGCTGCAATTTCTGCTTTCTTCATCACTGCTGATAAAACCATCCTAAAACATGCAAGGGGAAACACAATTGACAAGTATGACAAGAGTTCTGGACATGAAGCAGCACCAACTCAAAGATGAAACTCTTGGAGCATGAATTTTGATGTTTAATGGTTTCAGCCCTTGCGAGTTTATTTCCATTTTGTTTTTGTTCTAAATTGCTTGTTGAATCAAGTTAGAAATGAAATTTCTGCTATTGAAGTAGCAGCAGAAGCAGAAATATAGAGTATTTGAAGCTGCTTGGCTGAATGTAAATCAAATGTATTAATTTTTTTATTTGTTATTGTAAATTTCATATTATCTCCTGACTCTCTCTCTCTCGCGTGCGCGCATGCTCGTACATTTAGTTGTAACTTTCAATGATTTAGGTGGAGAAATTATTCTGTGCGGACAACGGACGGTTTAGAGACCAACTAGAATGCGCCACATCACCCGATACCAAGCAAAAAAAATGACGTGGCGTATTCTGATTGATCTCCGGATGCCGTCCGGGATCCGCACAAAATAATTTTTCCTTTCAAGACTGATGACAAGGAATGCAATGGGCGAGAAATGTGTATGAGCGTACCATCAATGGATGCAAATAGGGGGCATATTGCGTGTAAGGGGTGATGAATACAAATGAGGGGTTTATGGATACTAGTGAGGAGGATGGCAAGCAAGAAGGTAACAAATATGAGATTTGGAGATCAATTGATTTAGGGATTTTCAAATATTTGAAAAATAAGAGATTCAGAGCAATTTCAGATCATTTGAAATTTCACGTAGTAGAACAAAGACTTGATGTTGATATTTATTTTGCTTTAAATAGAACACAAAAAAAGAAAATGAAATACAATGCATTCATAATGCTACCAATCAAATTATTTATCACATGACAATTTTTTAAGATTTGATCAAATAGGGATACTTTTGCCCAAACCCAACTCTGAATGTTACCAATTTGATTTGAGTTGGGTCAGCAAATAGCTTTGAATCTAAAATAGAAAAAAAAAAAAATTATATCATAATATCCTAATGCAAAACACATCAAGACGAATTTCAAAGTCATCATATTTGCAATAAGATGAGTATCATATATAATATCTTAAAGAAAATATTTGTGTGGCCCGGCACCTGTGGAGTTGGTTGCTGATAGGCCCATCGAGATATTGGTTATTCCGTCATGTACCTTCTTTGAGGGTGACAACGAGTAGATATTCAAGATAAATAAATGTTTGCAACGGTTTTTTATTTTCTTTTTGGCGTATGAACTTCTATTTTGCCATTTTTGTTCTTAAGGAAATGAGAATCCAACAAAATCGAACAAAAATCCAAAAATGGCTGTGGAATCCATATTTGATTCCCAACCTTATTCCATCTCATCCAACAAGTTTAGAGATAAGGTTGGTCTCTTTCAACCTTATTTGCCGCAACTGCAGCAAGCTAAATATTTCTCTCCTTCTCTTAATCTTTCAAACAAAAATTGAATTGTGTCGACCAATCTTTTTTTTTTTTTTTGTGGATAAATTAATTAATGCATTTTCTATATATTAATAAATAAACTAAAATAATTAACAAAGCTCTTTTATTGCTCCAAATATATATTTTTATATTTATATAATAGCAAAAAAATAATAAAAAAGTAAAGTAATTAATGCCCAAAAGTGGTGACTAGATGTGGATGAACTAAAATAAAAAGTTTTGCCCCTTATCCTATGGCAAGATTGGATAGCATTCTCATCAATAAATAAAAAAGATAACTTTAAATGTTTATTATATATAATGAGGAGAGACAGTACCATCCAAGTCAAAAAATATATACTTCATCATCTAAATCCTCCCCCTTTATTCCTGATCCTATTTAAAGCAACATCAAGAAGCTACATACATACAATTGTTCATCAGAAGCTTGTTCTTCATTTCTCTGTGGCTTCCCAATGGCTAGAAGAGAGGATTTTGGTGACTGCAAGTTCTTGGATTCTGGATTCATTTCAGATGAAGAATCTCATGATTCATTGTTTTCTTCGGCGACCGATCTCATGGAGGATGATGTTTCTTCTTCTTCTTCTTCGGATCATCTCCTTGATTTGTCATTGCTCATGGCAAATCTTCCTATCAAGTGAGTATTCTTAGTTTTTTTTTCTATTGTAAGATCAATCTAGACATCAAATTTTGCCAAAAAAATAATAAAAACAAAGAAATGATCACAAATTTATGTACATAAGGGATCTTACTCTGCACATAAGGGATCTTTACAGCAGCTTAAGGCAAGTTCTGATCTTTGCAGGAGAGGGCTATCCCAATTCTTCCAAGGAAAATCAAAGTCTTTCAGTTGTTTATCTGAGGTTAGCTGCATTGAAGACCTTGCCAAAAAGAACAACCTTTATAGCAAGAGGAGTAAGTATTGCAAGAGAAATGCTGAAGGAATGTACATGAATCAGAAATCATATTACGCTCCAAATATTTGTAGTAGAATCATATCAAAGAAACCTTTGATGTACTCTTCTGATCCAGTGTTTGTAATGAACAAAAGTAGTAATCTTTTTTGCAGTAAGAAATAAGCTCCAATTTCATGGAAAAAGATGTAGAATGATTGATTTATAAAAATGAAAAAGAGAGAGAAAAGGAGGGCGATGTAGTTGACTTGTAATTTATTTTTTGTATGATGAGTTTTGGATGAAATACTTCAAATGAGATTATGACTGCTTAAAAAGTTCAAAGCTTTATCGCTAGAAATATTGCTTGAAATTGGCTCAACTTGAAATCTTTGAGCTGATTTCAAGCACCGCTCCACACTAGAAATTGATTTCAACCTGATTTCGAGCACCACTCCATACTAGAAGTTAATTTTGTACTGATTTTGAGTACCGCTCCATATTAGAAATTGATTTCAAGTATATTCAGCTTGCTCGAATAGATTGTAGGCTTAACTCAAAAGGAGTTTATAAGAATCGAATAAGAATCAAAATTGTCTAATTTTAAGTTGGGTCAAACACATTTGAACTCCACTACATAACAACATTAATGATTTATTTTTCTTTTATAATTTCAATGTTATTGATGATAAGACATGCATAAATGGTTTATCTTATCTAACATAAGTGAAAGCTTGTTAAACCATATTTTGTTACTTAATCTAATCACAATAGCCATACATTAAAGAATTTTGGATTACTTTTTAAGTAAAAATTCTCAATGGTAAAGAAGATTTGCTGCCCATTTATCTCTGTTGTTTTGAGAATGCAAAGGTTAGATATAATTTTACAATTTTTGTAAGATGAGGATTTTAATTTTATGAAAAAAAGATGTTTTTTACTATGCAAAGAATGCCAAATCATCCAAAATTTCAACTAAAGAGATGTTAAAAAAAAAATTCAACTAAATACATTGTCATAATGTCATATGAAAAACAAGAAACTAATAAGTTACTCAATTTCATAATTAATAGGCTAAAGATGTGTAGTTCTGTCATTTGAAGACTTGAGGAAGATGTTTCTGATTTCATATAACTCATTAAAAGCTTGTGCTATTTGTATTCTTTCTGTACGAGATTCCTCCGAGCAATGAAGACCAACTGTAAGCACTGAGATAATGCAGTCCAATTCAAACTTGCTTACAACTTTCATGCGCCGAAGGCCTTCCCCAACTTCATCATCTTCCTCCTGTAAAAGCAAATAAGGATCCACAATATCCATTGCCCTTTCAGGTAGAGAAGCCTTGACAAATAGATGAAGGGTGAGACCTTCATTGAATATTTCATCAATTGGTCTCCTTCCAGTAAACAACTCCAGTAGAATTATTCCAAAGCTATACACATCTCCTTCAACAGAAATGTGGTTGGCCGCCCCATATTCTAGTTGTAATCACATGTTAGAGAAAATAATTAATACAAGGTATAAAAATTGTTTTACCAAGTGCATGAAGATAGATACCTGGTGCTGCATATCCGATGGTTCCTTTCAATGCAATAGAGCTAGTAGAAGTTTGGGAGGATTGTTTTGTAGTATCAATAAGGAGCCTTGCTAAACCAAAGTCACTTACATGTGCAACCATGTCTTCATCAAGGAGAACATTACTTGGCTTGAGATCACAATGAACGATTGGTATAGGTCCATGATTGTGAAGATAGTCAACAGCAGAAGCTACATCAATAAGTATATTTATTCTTTGGATTATGGTCAATTTTTTTGGTCTATCATTGTCAAATATTGATGGTTGATGCAACCATTTATCCAAATTGCCATTTGACATGTACTCAAAAACTAAGGCTTTGAAATCATTGCCTTCATGGTTAATACTCGAGCATGAAGTTAATATCCTTACAAGATTTCTATGTCGAACATTTCTCAATGCTTTGCATTCCAATTCAAAGCTTTTAGAGGCTCCTTTTTGTTGGAGATTGAGAACCTTTACAGCGATGCTTTTTTGCCAATTGTGATCCAAATTTCCAATGTAGACAGAACCAAAACTTCCTCTTCCAATTAAATTGTGTGATGAGAACCCATTAGTCGCTCTTCGGATCTCAGCATAAGAAACATGTACATGATTATGATCTTTCTCAAGTCTCTCTATTGAAGGAAGCTTTTTTGACTTTCTACTCCTCCGTGTTGAAAGGATAAATAATATAACAATACAAGTTATTGGGATGACCGTTGCTAGTAGCACAGTTAAAGTGTGATTCTTCCTCGAGGCTTTATTATTCTCAAGGCATGGTGGTAGCTTTAATTCAACAATACCTCCACAAAGTTTGTCATTTCCGTAGACTGAAAATGCACTACTATTCAAAAAAATGCCATTTTTTGGAACTTCTCCTTCAAGATGATTGTAAGAGAGGTCTAAATTTTGAAGGGATTCTAGGAATTTGGGTATTTTTCCAGATAAATTGTTATGTGAAAGATTAAACAACTCAAGGTTTTTTAATGATCCAAGAGATGATGGAATGTTCCCTTGAAATAAGTTGTTGTCTATGAGAAGATATTTGAGTTGCACGCATTGAGCAAGCTGGCTTGGAATTTGGCCTGATAATTTGTTGCTCGACAAAACAATATATTCAAGATTTACTAAGAGGCCAACATCGATAGAGAGCAATCCAGTCAACAAGTTGTTCGACAAGTCAATACCAATGGATAGAGAAGTTATGCTAAAGATTTCTTTTGGTATGGTGCCCATGAACTTGTTGAAATGAAGGCGCAACAACATTAGTTGTTTACAACTTCTAAGATTAGAAGGAATATGCCCACTAAAATCATTGTGATCTAAAAAAAGAAAATTTAGCATTGAAAGGTTCCCAATGTTGTATGGAATTTCACCTGAAAGTCTATTACCATGTAAATCTAATCCCTGTAATGAGTTCAACTTTTCAATCCCCACAGGAATGGTCCCCGAGAGATTATTTTTTCCTAAGCCTAACAAGTTAAGACCAATGAGATTTCCTATCTCTATAGGTATGTTTCCAGATATTTTGTTCCAGCCTAATTTGAAATTTGCCAATGTTGTAGATAGATTTACTATTGATTGAGGTAAGATTCCTTCCAATTCATTAGAAAATAGCTCTAGCATCTTCAAATTAGTACAGTTGGTTAGTGCCATAATGAAGGACCATTCTTTGATGTCTCTTGCTTGCAAGAAATTTTCAGCGAATAATACTTTGGATAAATTTTTTAAATTCCCTATATTAATATGTATGGGTCCATCAAATAAATTTTCAGAAAGTTGAAGTAATTCTATTCCAGAAGAGTTGAACAAGAAGGTTGTAATGGGCCCATGAAGGTTGTTATTTGAAAGGCGAAGATATTTAAGAGAAGGAAGAGTTTTCATTGGTAAAACACCAATTAAGTTGTTATTTTCTATGCCCAAGTCTATGAGAGAGGTGAGGTTCCAAAGAGAATCTGGGATAAATCCACCAAGCTTATTATGCCCTAGTTCTAGTAAAACTAAGAATCGTAGATTTCCTAAAGATGGTGGTATGTTTCCATACAAGTTATTAAAACTGAGAGAAAATTGTTCAAGTTTCAATAGATGTCCTAAAGAAGATGGAATCTCTCCTGTAAGATTAATTTGACTCAAATCTAATGCAGTGAGAGAGGTGAGGTTGCCAAGGCATGATAAAATACCACCTTCAAGGTTGTTGATACCTATATATAGCTCCGAAAGAGACGTGAGGTTGCAAAATGAAGGTGGAATTGCTCCAGAAAATTGATTATTTCTCATATCAAGTATTATTAACCTGGGAAGTTCTCCAATAGGAGGAATAACACCACTCAAATGATTGATTCCCAACAAAAGTCCTTGTAAATTGACCAACTTCTCAATTCCAAAAGGAATGGCTCCATAGATTTGGTTTTCCTCCAAATCTAAATATTTAAGATTCACTGAAAGATTTGTGACTGAGATAGGAAGCTGGCCTGTCAATCTATTATTTCCCAATCCAAGAAATGTTAAATTACTACAGTTTGTCAAAGTAGTGAGAAAATTCCAATCTCCCTCCTCCATGGCTACGAACTTGTTGCTATGAAGCATCAGCACTTCTAAATCTTTTAAAGCTCCAAAACAAGCAGGTATTGTGCCAGTAAGACTGTTTGAATTGAAATCAATGAATCTAAGCATAGCGCAGAGGCTAAGATTTGAGGGGATCTCACCATGAAGCATATTGAACTCCAAGCTAATAAGTTGCAAATTAGAGCACTGTGAAAGAGTGTGAGGAATCTCACCTGCAAGTGAATTATGGCTTAGATTAAGAAACTGAAGATTAGAAAGAGAGCCAAGCTCATGTGGAATGGATCCAGAGATTTGAGTTTCGGAGATGTGAAGCTTGTGGAGGAAGGAGAGGTTTCCCAAAGAGGGAGATATTGAGCCAGCCAAATCAATGCCAATGAGTTCTAAGGTTGTGACCCTGGGTTCATTACCACTTTGATTACTGCAAGTCACACCTAGCCAATTGCAGAAGTGAAGAGAGTTATTTCCCCAAGAGGCAAGTGCTCCATCTGGATCGTATGTGATGAGAGATTTGAAAGATATGAGAGCAACTGCATCTCCTGTACTATAAGTTGATGATATTGCAAGATTTCGTGGGAATAAGATAATTAAAAGGAATGAAGCATAAAATCTGAGCCAAAATGTGAGATCCATGTGTTTCTATGTTAACTGGAGAAGTGAAGTAGTAGGAGAGATTATATAAGCATATAGATGAAGAAAGGAGAATCATGGCCAAGCACAACATATTGTAAATTGACTTAATCCTTTAACGATACTCTTTACGCCAGCCACTAAATAGATGCCATATTCATGTCAGCAAAAAAAAAAAAAAAAATGCTGCCCAATCAAAAGCCTTGGGTTGACTTTATTCTTTAAAGATACCTCCATCCAAAAAGTAAAAACATAAAACATAAACTATTTTTACAATGAAATCATTTCATGGACGTCACCAACACCTACTCGTCCAAGTTGATGTTTTAATAGGAATAAGAGGAAGTCTCGGTGGCCGATCAATGAAGTATGTACAAGCGGAAGTGCAATCGACAGCAAGAAGTGCAATCCGATGAGCTGCCAAGTGTTAGGCAATTGTAGGGTCAAGAAACGGTGAGGTTGGGATTCCCTGCAGGCTTCGAAATGCGTTCGAAGTGCTGGGACGGCGCGACTCCTCTGCTCGCCAACAGCCCATGCCCGTTCTTCCTTTCTCCAAGCCGAACTACTCTGAAAATAACTCCCAAAGCTCCCCTCTTCATTCGGCTTCACCCAGCCGAGAGCAATGAAAGCTCCTCCTTCTCTCAGCCGAACAACCCTAGGGATTCTTTTCCCCGTCCCACTTGGTTCTGTTGGGAAAGCCCCGAACACAAGAAGAGGAAGAAGAAGAGCTACCTCAGTTTTTCCTGGTCGCTGCTGCGTATTCCCCAGCCCAGCCCGATAACTCTAGCCCTTGCCGTCCAAATGCGATTCCTCACCACCCTGAAGGTCCCAAGCGGCGGCGAGAGGAGGAGAGCACAGTAGCCTGCGGCTCGTTTAATCACTTTCTTGACGATTTCAGCTACTCGATCGTGCCTGATTTGGAAAAACTTATATAAAGAGCCAAAATGGCAGCCCAATTTTGAAGAAAACTGAACCGGATAAGCCAATTTGAGTTCTATTTGGAATAGATTTGACTCGATTCAAGTCGAGTCAACTCGATTTGATCCAACTTTGTTTCATTTGATGTATTGGATAACTCCGTTTGATTCGAGTCAACTCAACTGGATTGAATTAATATTAAATCAAATAAAATAAATCAATTAAAGTGAATCGATTAATTCAATGTAACCGATTAAAGTTGTAGTTGAATCGAGTCAAAATTGAGTCAAATTTGGATCAATCAAATTTTCGGGAAAAAATTAAGTTGAAATTTGATTTTTTTTTTTTATGAGATTGAGTCGACCC